AGGCGTATGGAACTTTGGCGTCGTCTGACGTAGAGGCGGAAACGATCGAGCAGTTAGTGAGCCTTCCATGGAAAGCAGTAGTGTTGAGGTATTTCGAGGAAGAAATGAGGACTACGCCAAGAATACATGCTCTCGTGGCAGTACCTTACGTAAGGACAGAGTTACAACTCAGGTTCGCCTGGTGCATGATGGGACTGACTCGCGAAGAATATGATTCAGAAGAAAGAAAGAGATCAAAAGAAGAAAAGGTTTTCCTTATGACGAATCTGAGGGATCTGATAGTCCAGGAGGGAGCAGCAGTAGCGTGTGCGAAGCGGAGAGACGCTCTCTGTTTCATTCGATTCCTGATAGAGCAGATTTCAGTACCTGCATTAAACACTTGTGTTAAAATGTTGAGGGAAGGCGATGAGCGAACGAAAGCCTTGTTCTTACTAGCAATGCTGGAGATTCAGCAAAGTAAACCGATGAGGGTGAACATGAAAGAACCTGAAGAATTGGAACCCATGAAAAAGATAGACGAGATCAGGAGATTCTCAAACAAGGAGTTGAGACTCACTAAAGAATCTATGGGAGCATTGCCGAAATCCAGTGAATATTGTGGACCGATCAAGAAGAAGTCATATAGCTACGTATCCGGGATTATAGGAATAGCGTACAATCCTTTCCTGAGTGAAGACATACGCGATTGCTTCTTTGATTATGAGCAGGCGGTGTTACTAAGATTCTGGACGTCCAGAATTGTAACGATTAAGAGCGTTAACAATCCACAGGCCAAATTGGGATTGGTCTTGGAAGAAGAGGTGACTGCGCCTTCAGTACCAAAATCCGACAAAAGAGTGGAGTTTGGGTTGGGATTCTCAGATGAATTACTGAGAACGAGCTTGATGGCAGTGTGGGAATTGATGAGGCCATCATGGTGTCCTAGTCCCAACGCTGACTCAATATTACGGGCGACACAAGACGTACAGAGGGAACTGAATGCAGACTGTAACCTGCGTGACCTCAACATCATATATAATGTGATGATAACGGCCTCTAAGAGCAACGGAGAAGATAAAGTAGAGTTGCCTGGCTGGGGACCAGAAGACTGGGTCAAGCCTGGTAGCTGTCTGGCGGAAGTCTGTGGACTAGAGGGTCATGTTTGTGGAGGTCCAGACTGTGTGAAAACCCTGGATAAACAACACAAGCAATTGACAGTATTGTTTGGAAATGTGGTGATGAAAGCAAGAACGGAGACGGAACTGATAGCAGATTGCCATGGAGGAACCGATGTGAATCTAGTGACTGCACTAGGATTCTACAGCATGTTTGGTTCTTTAGAGTCACTATTGAATCTAGAACAGAAACATGAGATGGTCACATCCATCAGCGTAGAAGTATTCCCAGGAGTTCTGCAGACTGAGCAGAAATATCTAGGAAAATGGAGGGAAGCAATCGAAACGGAGATGAACATCAAACACAGCGAAACTTACTGTAGACCATCAGGAGCACGATATTTGGTGGGCTCAACGTTGGCTCCAATGTGCAAGAGCAGATATCCTGTGCATTTCGTGGCTGTGGACGTGAAAAGTACAAGAACGATCGTGGATCAAGCCTTCTCAGTGCCGAAGTGTGTGAGATTGGCGAGAATGTCTGAAAAGTCTTACTAGTTACTATGTAAGATGTTCTCAGCAATTCCAGAGATAACCAAAGAAGAGTTGGAGTCAATACTAGGAAAGAAGTTCATGGGATATGTGAGCGGGAACTTCAGTGACTTTGAGAAACAGAAACAGAGAGGATCAACTGTCACAGATTACAATGCAGTAGATGAGAATGATGAAATCCACCGAGTGATGATGGAAGTGGAACCATTGCTGGAAGCTTCGGGAAAACGTAATTGGAGGAGCATCATGTTGACGCATGACGAGTTTCCTTGCCACTGCTTGCTGCAGACCTGGTGGTATCCCAAGCGTAGTAATCTGATGTTGATCTGGGACTCTGGAGAGCTGCTCTCCATGGGTTTACCAGATTCATCACAGCCCGTAACAATAGTGATAGTGGGATTTATGATGGCGATACGATGGCTGGAAGCTCATGTGAGAGAAAATAATAGACAGGAGGCGCCGACTAGAGAACAATTGCGGAAATTAGATTGTCTAAAAGATTTAGATCTTTTTGAGACAATGTGCAAAGTTCTAAACATTCCGATGGAAGTGAAGAAGATATGGGCGAGAAAACGATTGATGCCATGGTTCAGAGCCAACATGACTGCATGGTTGTACGAGTATGCGAAAAAGCATATGTCGAAGCACGGCAGGATGTACAGTGAATATCAGCTAGACATTGGGGCAGGAGCTTTCAAGCGGGCTCTCGTGACTCATCGGAATGCAGTGACCACCGCCGTGAAAAGAATTTCCAGAACGAGTGAGCGTAGTGGAAATGAGAAGGCAGAGATGCTGAAAGAAGATTTGGAGAGAAACGTGACGTTGTGTCTCCACAACAGTTTCTGCAGAAATAGAGAATCCAACGTGGATCCCCTACCTTGCTGTAAATAGAGGGTAGAAGAGCAGAAGTGTTGGAGGACGGCTTCCAACAGCATCAGGATAGCCAATGATGTGCTACAAGACACGGAAACCGAAAGTGCGGAGTCAGTATCACAGGAGGAAGAAATGGAACATTGATGAATGGTCGAGAAAACAAGAGGCAACAAGAAAGAGAATTAGAAGAATTTAGAAGTTTTAGAACTTCTAAACGACGAAAAAAGAGGAGAACAAAGGAGTGATGAAGAAAACTTAAAACTCAGAATTGTTTTATGTGTGTGAAAAACTCAAGTGAGAAACCAAGCAACCAAGTTGTAATTGAAAACTGAAACATTTTGTTGAGTTTTGAAATTGTTGCATTTACAAATTTGCATTTTGATTTTAGTTGAAGTGGCTTTAGAGACACTCACTTATTATTTATTTAGAAAGGCTTAAGGGAAGAGTATATTTAAATATTCCAGCCTGCATGATTGTTTTTAATCACTTAGGAAGACTGATCACTTTGTGGTGACATGAAAAACTTGAGTAACTTCTTGAGGAGGGAGGTTGTTGCATTGTTCTTTCTAACCACAAAGTTTCTTAGTTTTAATATTCAGGACAATAAACAAGCAAGATTTCCGAAGGGAGGGAGCATAGTAGGATAATTTTAGCTTGTTGGTTGGCAGGACTGTCCTGCAAGCCAACATCTTTTAAATCTAAGAAAAAAAGTTTTAATCGGGACATTGACAATGGAAGTCAGAAAATATGTTTTATCTTAAGTCATATCCTTAATGTGCAGATTAATGAAAGTGATGTAGTATGATGCCATTTATATTCTGCAGTGAGTCGATGTGACGTGGATAAAAGTAATTTCGTGCATTTTGTAAATTCTGTTCGATGACACTGTAACCATTTTACGAACATTGCGCGATTCAATGAGGACATTGACCGGACTGTCCGGGGAGTATGTGACATTCGACCAGAATGGCCAAAATGCAATCTCTGCAGAATTCGGAATTTTAGCAGTAAGCCTTCCGGATTGGTGGTTTTTAAGAACTAAGGGCGTTTTTGGAACGTTTAGCCAAACGGTGAGGGCTGGAATATTCTAGTATTTTAAAATTTCAAAAATTCGAATGATGACGTCACATTTCTGAGAAATGCTGAAACGGCCATTTTAACAAAAAACTAGAGAAAAAACACAACAACATTAGTTGCGCGGACGATAGCAACGACAATCGTGATAAGAAAAACAGCAGCAGATTGCAGAAAACGTTCCGAGTTGCAACTATTGTGCTGCTACAATAGTTGCAAGGCCGTTGCGAACAACGGTGAAGGGTAAGAAATCAGCCTTCCGGATTGGGAAGAAATCGAGATCAACGGGCTTGATTCACCGGATTCAAGAATCCGGAAGGGTCTCGGGACGGAAAACTTTTATTGACTCGTGTGAACTTTTAGCATCCTTTTAGCATATTTGATTAATTCAAGTTTTTCATTGATATTTGGATTAGTTTTGACAAGGATGAGGTGCTAGGAGTTGGGGGAAAGGGTTGATCCATCTTCGATGGAGATGATGATTTTTATCTACTGAACAAAAACAATAGTAATATAACAAGTAGTAACCCTGTTTTTAGGAGTGACCTCGTGGTCTGGGGATACTGAGACCCAGCCATGAGCTCACTATTTGCATGTAATTAAGTTAATTTGAGCGTTCTGGTCGAAGCCGGAGAACAGTAACGTTTTTGTCGACCCGATGTTAGAAGGACCACCGAAAAGTACTGGCTTGGTAGAGACGGTGAAAAGCATACAAAGCTCTGTTTAGGCGCTAGCCAGTCGTCTTAAGACTTAGTTTTGTTATCCGTCGATATGTATCTTCCGGGCGAATGTTACATTCAGAAACTTTTAATAAAAAGTGTAATTACAGTGTTTATATCAAGAAATATGCACGCTTCAACTAATATTACGCTTTAAAATTTAGGTTAACTTTATTTGTCATGAAAACTCAATTTTGACATTTTTGGATTTTCCACCTTAAAATGGTGTGGGGGGAGGTTTTACGAATAAAACATAAAAATTGTTTCAAAATATACCGCGAAATATTTCAAGTTGCCACTCTGTCATAGTAGTACCATTTTCTCCATTCGTTTCCAGGGCTGCATATTTCTTGTTTTTCTTTCCGTGGCCAATCTGTGCTTTGTATTACGCATATATTATGGAAAATACTCCATTGGATAAAATCTGTTTTTCATAATTGCTCTTTGTTAAACACAACAATGTGCTTATCGCCTTGGTGGTAAGCTCTTCTTGGCCTCGATATGTTTAATAACTGTTCAAAAGAAAGTTGTTTTTTTTCCAGGTACTCGAGTTTAGTTTGCCGAAATAATGTCGGCCAAGTTTTTCTATTTATTAACTTTTATCAAGCGCTGATCATTGCGTTTTTATAGTTATGAAGCCCGTTAATCATTTTTATCCCGAAATTTCCAGAATTGAGCATTTTTAAGAGGTATGTCGATCGGTGTTCCCATTAAAATTCTCCACGAGGCTGAAGGTCATGTGATTACAATAGAGACGGCCACAGGTGAAGTTTACAGAGGAAAACTTCTAGAAGCAGAAGATAATATGAACTGCCAAATGTCGCAAGTTCACGTTACTTACAGAAATGGACGGACTGCTCAACTAGAACATATTTTTATCAGAGGATCAAAAGTCCGCTTCTTTATTCTACCTGATATGCTTAAAAATGCGCCGATGTTTAAAACAATGCAGCGTGGAGGTCAGAAGGGTGTTGGCATGGGAACTGGAAGAGGAAAGTCAGGAATTCTTAGAGCTCAAGCGGCTGCTGGTCGTGGTCGAGGAAGAGGCATGGGCGGTGGACGCGGAGGTCCCCCTGGAAGTGGACGGGGTGGACCTGGAAGAGGGGGCTACTGAGCCATTCAAGTGCAAACATCTGATAACCTTTGTCAGCTTTGAGAAAATTGTTCTGTTTTACTGGAGATTTACCTGTTACTAAACCTCGATGATTCCACCAAATTGAGCTTGCCTTTTAAATTTAACTTCCTAGCGTAAAGAAAAACAGACTTTGTTGTCACAGGATTTGTTTTTAGACTCTAATCATCGAGGTTTTTTTTTTGAGAATATATTATGCTCAGTTTTGATATCTGATGTTAATTTTTTATGTCTGATGTTTTTTGTGTTAATTGAATGTCTTTTTAGTTCATTCAATTATATAGCTGCTAATGCGATACCGGCTAGATCTTAAACCCCCAACTTATTTGTAGGTGCCGAATTACGGTTTAAAGTTTGCTGGTATACGAATGGCGATTAAAAAAATGAAAAACCAGATAGAACTAATTCTAGGAGTTCTTGTACACGGTGACACTTCTCCGCATACATTTAACCGCCGCGTCATTTGTTTTTGGAATATTTTCAGAGTGATTGAAATGGCAAACTTCTTGACCGTATAAAGATATTTTAGTTCATGTCCGTTTTTCTAGAACCAGTCATATGTCTAATCAACTTGTTCAATGCCCGTACGATCCAAACCACAGGGTTATTGCCCAGCGTCTTCCTTATCACGAGTTAAAATGTCGCAGAAACTTCAGAGGTCGAGCTGCGTGTATTGAGAATTCCCAGACTTATGCGTATTCTCTCAAAGATGAGAGAGAGCGAAAAGATGAACAGCGTGGGGTGCGTGTGAACGAAATGGAAGCAAATGACGAAGTTAGTTAGGAATATTTAATGAAATAAGAGTAGGGCAGTATCCTCATCCCGAAAATCGGATTAGTTGTCGGAGATAAAGAAACGACGTCAACTTGGTATGAATGGTTCACATCAGTTGGATCTGTGATCAGTTGAGTTAAAGTTTATAACCTATGAGAATCGAGTAATTACACGTAGTCATGAGCCGTGTTAACATGTAAGTTATGTCATCTTGATTAAGTTGTTCAATTTTTGTTGGTTGAGTGATAAAAGCAATTTCGCTTATGTCCAGTTTCGTGAACGTCAGTTTCCATTGCAAGGATTTGTGTAGAATGTAGCAAACTAAGTTAAACCGGCTTTTAAGGATGAAATGGATTAACTAACATCCCTTTTCATATGATGCTTAGAACGAGAGCGAACTAATTACTTTGTCACCAAACAAATGGCCCTCTTCCGTGTCAGAGGCAGGTCAGTCGTATGGTGGGCAAAGTATCAGCAGTGCTTCATTGTGTTCCTTCAGTAAAGACTCTCTGAGGTGGGAAAAGAAGAAAATCGAGCGGAACAGGTTCAAACGGGGCCTAGAAATCACACCAAGACGCTCATCGCCTGAATATGAGTTATTTAGTGCTCTTACTGAAGCAATTGATGAGAAAATGAAGAAAAATGATTTTCCAGCGGAAGACAATTGTCAATCTCTTCCTCAGGCAAGGCCATCGTTCGGTCGAGGTCAGTTGATTTTTTGGGTTGTAATCAATATTTTAAGTGTAAATATAGGGCATGAATTTTTTCTTATTCATTGGGTCCATTTTGTCGCTCTTACTTCGAAGCGAGTTGTCAATCTAAAAGTGAACTCTAACTTGCTAGAAAACGATAATAGCTAAATTATAGAAGACTACCTTGATTTTTACACTGGCGAGAGCAAGTGTCTTGTAACCGGTAACTAGACTTCTTCCATAAGTCTAAGTAACAACTTTGCATACAAATATTAGTTGCATTATCGTTGAACTGAAATAACTTCCATGTTCGTTCTCTTTTCACCTAGAGGTAACGCCGTGCGCTTTGCATCTTAAGTTCTCGGGTTTGAGTGCCGGACTGAACTTGTTTCTTTTTCAGTATATATGCTATTGAAATATCTTTTTTTTATGATAAAAAAGATAGTCGCACTTTCGCTTCTGTTCATTTTTTTGGCGGAATTGCCTCATCAAGGATTTTGCTTGTGCTGTAAGCTACTTTCGTTGAAGTTGCAAGTGCATTTGTTGTTCATTGTAGTTTCAGGGGGACTTTCAAGGGTATTGCAATTGGGTACTAGACTTCTTTTTTCCCGTAAATAACTTTGTTCACAGGACTCATCTCATCTGGACTTCTGGATTCATCTCTAGTAGTGACTTGCTTCATAATTAATTCAAATTTCCTAGCGTTAGCGGCTCACTTAGCCCGGAGAAAACGAATATGCCTAGACGCTAAGGTCCTGGGGTTGAATCTGAACTGTTTTTTGTTCAAATGGAACATATTCTGTTTCAACGAAAATTGTCGACTTTTTTCGGCTTATTTACCACATTTTGGAATCGTTTTTCTGCTGCGGATTTTTTCTTCAATGCTGCTTTTACTTTTTGGTTGATTTCTGCAATTTGCAATTTTTTTAACCTTTACTTCGTATATCTTTTTTTTTGCTTTTAAACTTTATTCGACCCAATATAATCAGACTATCCTTAACGATTTAGTCTTTTGCATCGTTTCAAGAGAAACACATTTTTGAAGCTCTTCTCCGCTTTGTTTAAGTTAGTTGTTTTTCTACCACTCGGTTGTTGATTTTTTCTGGCTTTATAGGTTTCGGCTTTTTTTATATGGGTGTACTAGCCATTTTTTGCGTAGTTTGATGTTTTATGAGAGGAAGCAGAACGTTAATATTTTGAATTAGTTATGAGTTTTAAAAAATTTCGGCTGGAAGAGTTGGGCTCAGATATTTTCTGCTTTGTCGCCGCCTGGTTAATTTTGTTCTGATGCTGATTTTTAATTCTATTGTTTGGGCCTGTTTTTTCAGAACTATGTTCATTCATTTTGATAGATATAGTTGAATCGCAAGTGGTGGGAAGCCCATTTTCGCCTCTGTTTTCGAATTTTTTGTAGGGTTATTTTTTTTGGCTCAACTTGTGTCTGCTAGAAGTTTGTCAGTTTAGTTGCCTTATCACGGATTTTTCCTGTTCTGTAAGCAACTTTCATTGAATTTTCATCCTGTTTTGTAAGCAATTTTCACTGATCTTCAATGTAGTTTCAGGTGGACTTTGGAAATTTAAACCATTTTTTTCGGCTTGACTTGTGTCTGCTCAAATATTGTCGGTCTGTTTTTTTCTTCGTAAGTTACGTTTTATGCTAATTTAATACTCAAATGTCTGAAATCTTTTATCGAGAATTACGAAATTTTTATTTTTGGTAGACTATGAAAATTTTCAATATAATGTTTTTTGTGCGTGTTGTATCGGAAGTGATGGGAAGCTCTGCTTCTCCGCTGTGTTATTATTGTGGTCGGAACTTTATGTTTTACTTGCACAGCAACTGGCAATCGTTGTTAAACTTGTTATAGGCAATCAGTCTTTTTTCCGTTAAACATCTTCTCTTATATTTTATAAGCACTTCGTGACGAAGAGGCCTGGAAAATAGTGATCGAGAAGTAATGATGTTCGATCATGTAAAGAATTTTAATTTTTCAATTTTATTTTTAATTTCAATATTCGATTCCGACTCGGAGCCCGGTTATATATAAATGGACCATTTTTTCTTTGAAAATATTAATGGTCGGACTGTTTTCTCTGTTTATGTTTATGGGCTTTTTCTGATTTGAACGTTTAAAATAATGAAAGTTCTTTTTTGATTTATTCAAAAGAACGATGCATAGTGCTGCCATGTAATGTCTCAAGTGTTGTTCATCTTTTTTAGGCATGCCTTCTAAAATAGTCGTCAATACCTCAGCATCTCCTAGAAGAACTGCAAATTCTCGGAGCAGCACTTCAGAATCTTTTTGGAACTCAAACTCAACATCTGAGAAAACTACTTTATCCCCTGGGATCACCTCCGAGACACCTCAGAACACGTTAGAAAGCCATGAGAAGACCAGGACATCTCCTGAGAAGAAAACTTCAGCTCGCATGATGTCGCCAGGAAATACTGCAACACGGAATACATTTGAGTGTATCGAAAAATCGAATCCAGCCTTCCAAGATTCGCTATCCCCCATTTCAAATTCTGTTGCCGAAAAAGTTGACGAGGATAGAACAACAGCTCTGGAGGCTTTGAAATTAATGCAGTCGATGAGCATCTCTAAAAGATAATTTTTCTGTTCCGACTGCTTTTTTTTCCGACAGGAACTAAGTTGAAATTTTATATTCGGGTCATTTCGCGCCTTACAGAAACAGTTTTTTTTGTTCTGTTCTTTATTCTTGGTGCTATAACATAATCTCAAATAAAAAATGAAACGCAAGTTTTTATTGTTAATTGTTTTTCGGGTATGTTTCGTCTCCCTTTTTCTAAACACCTTATTCCGAAAAACTGGATTCAATTGTTTATTCTCCAGGTAAACTCAGATAAACCGAGAAACACCGTATATATATTTATGATAGCATAACAAATGCCATTCATTTAATGAATAGCATTTTTATAATTATTATCAAAAGTGTTGTAATCCCATCTTTTCCGTGAATTTTGCAACAAATCTGCCTGTTTCAAATATCTTATGGGCAGAAAACAGCGAAAAAGTCCAGCTTGTTAAGTCACGAGATCTGTTTGGAGTCAGTTTTATCTGAAAAGTTGATCAGACCGCCCTTTAACACGTGTCGCTATCCATTGACTGACTGGGAGTGTTTAAAGCTCCATGTTTTTCTAATTTCCCAAGGTCTAAATGGTCTTTCTTCCGCCTGGTGTGTCCTATATTCAACATGGTACGTCTGTCTGCGTGTGTGGTAATAAATTGTTTTTTTATTTCACCAATCTAGATAAATGGCTTGTACAGCATGATTTCCTGTAAATGGTAAAGTACGGGATATTACCCTTTCCTCAATTTTATTCCCACATAAGTCTAGTTACTAAGACACGCGTTTTATACGCAGTTCACTGAACAATTTTTTGTTACCTTTTTTTGCATAAATAGTTCTGTGGCGAATATTTTAACGCATTTACCGTGCAAAATACAAAGCGATTTTTTACCGACATATGTTTTCTAAAGTGTTTTTACAGTGGCGCTATAAATAAAGCGGTTAATTAAAGTAAGCCGAAAATCAACAGGGATTTGACCGCATAGATAATTGATATTCTCATGCGCTGTTCATGCTACACGGATTCAAAATAAATAATTGAACTTATTGTCTCAACTCGATATTTACAAATAGTGTTTACTAATTCTTGGTGCGTGTTTTTTAAGAGTTCATTGGTAGCAATTAAACAGGGTTGATTTAGTTCAGGGAGTTTCAAAATCATTATCGTTAAATCATCTTTTTATCATTTGGTTTGCTGTTTCTGATTGGCATTTGAAATTTTTTTTCGTTGATGGTCGCTTGTACTCGTGGGTATAATCAGGAGCTTAAAGCTGAAGTCAATTAGAGCTGCAGTGCTAAATCAATTTTCACCCCTGTGTATTCTGAGCCCATTCATGAAGGGTGGATAGCCCTGGGGTGTTTTCCTTTTGCACAACGAGATGTCAATTTTTGTCTCCCAATCCAACAGAATCGCTGATGAATTTGACTTAGATTCTCTTTTTTGATTCTTTCTCAATGCGTGATGCTGTTGTTCTGTTTCCGTTGGAAACTGTGTCTTTTTGACCAGGTACTATTACAGATCTAGGTTATGTGATAGCTTCTCTTGTGGGCTGTGTCATCCTGCTCTTATGATAGATTGATTGATTGAATATTTTATCCGAGAAAAATACCATTCTTATCTGGCGCGTTGCGAGTGTTTTTGCTGTAGATGTGCGGTTTTAAAGCTGACCAGGTAAGTAACCGTAGAAAAAAATAGAAATGAAAATAAGCAAGATAGGTAACAGAGCTTTAATGCGCTCGCCTGATTTTTTTGCAACCCACCTATACCGACCTACTGCATAAGTAAGTAAATGCTTGTTATAGCTAATCCGTAGGTATGGCACTTGACTAAAGGAACTGCATAGCTTTTGTGCGTTGCTTGATTGAAATTTATAAGTTGTCAAAGTATTAACAAGGTATTATTCCAAGGCTTTGTTTTCATTTCTACGAAGAAAGTTTCTCGGAAAAGTTGCGACAGCTGAAATCCTTTTATTTAAATGACAGGAGCTTCTTTTGAAATAGAAACGATACTTCAAATGCAGGACAATTTTAATGACCAAAGCAAAATAGCAAACGCTATTTATTGCATTTCGATTTTGCATGCTGCGTTGAAGCTCCAAAACTGGTTCACGATTTTTTGGCCTTCGGATGTTTGAACCAGGAAAGTTTTCCTGGTATTGTAATGGCCGCAAGTTATTTGATCTTGTTTCGAAGAGTTTTATTTGCTTCCATTAAGATCTGTCGCCTTTGGTGTCTTAAGACTGCGTTGTACCGTTCGCTAAATTAAGGCATATTCTTACTGCTGTGTAAAGTTTCTTACTGCAAGTTAAGTAAGTAACAGAATGGTATAACAAGCCCACTCAAATATTATTAAGTTGAAAGTGGTACAAGTTGGTTTTAAGTGCACTGCGCGCTTAAGAAATGAACGCAAGTGGGTTTGCTTAGACAAATCTGAACCTCCAACGAGGCATGCTGAAGCCTCCAAATTGTTACCAAATCAACTAATCCTTTGTAGATTCTCGCTAACTTCTCTGTTAACTATTTCAGATTGCAACGTTTATCGGCCCGAAGTTCGTCTTTACTCATCGTCGCTTATCTCGCACCATGCGACTGAAGAAGTAAAATAAAGTTGAAAAATATCCAACGTAATACCCATTTCTGACCAGCTCTTTCGACGCCTCTAGTCAAATAACCTTGTCGAAGTTTTCGAAGACTGTTATTAATTACGGTTTGGATACTTTAAGGACGATTCTCATAACTGATCAAACTTGTCCTTTTTCTTTGTTAATGGTCTCTGTTTGCAAACCCAGTTAGCCTTACTTTCGTTGACTTACTGAGTTTAACTTTCGGTTCCTTTCGTGTGTTCAATTATCTTTGAACATTTCATTCTTTTGGAGTTTTAAACCAAGATAGTTTCAAAAGTACAACTCTTTCACTTTGAAAACGATCTCTTTATCTGCTTTGATGAAAATTATTTTACGCGGTATTTAACGCATGTTTTATTATCAACTTTTCGAACTTAGTTGATATGATTTTCTTTGAAGCTTAGTTTTGAAATATAATAGCCTCTTCATATTATAGCTGTTACAAATTGTATTCAAAATGACAACTCCCAATTACCCTAGCAATACAAGTCGTAGCGCCGTTACTTCCGGCGGCGATAAATTCCAAGTTTACCTTCTGGACGGGCACCCTATTGAAGTGAGAGCGCGTCGCAAAGCGAAGGGAGATGACCTTCTGCAAGAGGTGTTCAACAGTATGAATCCGCCTCTGGAGGAGCGCGACTACTTCAGTCTGACATTCGACACTCTGGACGACAAGGAGCCGATTGCGTGGCTGGACAGGGGCAAAAGTGTGGACAAGCAGATGAAGAAGGCCGCCAACCCTGCGTTCGCTATGAATGTCAAGTTCTTCCCCCCAGATCCCACCACTCTGATGGAGTACACGAGGTACCTGTTCTACTTGCAGATCAGAGACGACGTCGCAAAGGGCAAATTGCCTTGCTCAATGTCAACCCTCGCACTGCTAGGTTAGCAAACTAAACATCCTATTTAGTTTCTGTTTTGTATTGCTTATATCCACGTCAGTATTAGGTTGTACGGAGTGTAGCTGTTAACGTCACATTTTGGTTCTAAAAGTAAACACATCATGATTCTAAAATTAGCATCTGTTGAACTAACGTATTTAATATTTAGGCCGACAAAATTGATTTTCCGAAATACTTCAGAGCCTCTATTTATTTTAAAAAAATCTGTACGCCGGCAAATGTTGCGTCAAAGTTGGTATATTGGCACCAAAGGGGTCCTTGAAAATTTCGTGCTGAGTTTCCAGGAGAACCAACTCCCATTAAATTTTCGTGTGCTATTATCTAGTTACTTTTTTATTTGGAGGAGATTAGTGTAAATTAAAAAAGTTCACGGATTTTTTTAACAAAACTCGTTTAATTGAAACTTTCTTAAAGGTTCAGTGCATAATTTCACTTGTAATCGGGAACTACACTTTTTTCCCGGAAAACTTTGCGTACACTTTCTGCTGCTCAATTTCTGCTGCAGCTCAGACATTCTCAATTTTCTGAAAGTTCAAATAGAAAACCTATGTGTTCATTTGACATAGTATTTAATTTTTTGAAATGTTTTTTTGAAAAAATGTTAATTTTTTCGGTTTTTTGATTTTCGTCCTAATTTTTGTTGGCTGATTTTCTTTTTTAATGCAATTTATATTATCTGGTACGCTTTTCAAAATCATTCTTTCCAATGCCTAGGTTTTTTATGATTCAAATAGTTTGTTCCTGTTTGATAAAAACATGTATTATGAAATTGCGTAATTTTTTTCATAATAATGTTATGGCCATCTGAAAAACATTTGATTTTTCGACCGTTTTTAAAATTCATGGTTTTTCGCAGCAACTACCATCTTACTCTAAAATTTGAGGTCAATCGAATAAACGGGTTGTGTGAAGCTCCCCTGCTTCAGTGGTTTTGCCCAAATCTTAACATAAACATTTATGGTCCTTCGGAAAAGTCAATTTTTGATTATTTGACGATTTTTTAAAACTTTTTGTCCAAACTTTTTGTCCAGTCTCGAAAACTGCCCTCCCTAATCTGAAATTTTGTTTCACTCAAAAAAATGAGCTGTGAGAATTTCCCATCCATAAATGGCTAACCCAAAAATATTTTAACTCAAAAACTTATGAACCTCGGAAATGTCAATTTTTTGAGCTTTTGGCCGTCTTGAAACTTCTCCAAAACTACTCTCCCAAATGTGAGATCTTGGGTTCAATCGGAAAAAAGATTGAGAGTAGTTTTCCTGCATACGCGGCTACGTCCAGTTTTTAAACAAAAAATTTTGCCCCTCGCCCTCAGAAAAGTTGTTTTGATTTCTTGTCCGTTGAAGTTTTTTGGCTCTTGAAAACTACTCAACCGAATCTGATATCAGGGTTTAATCGAGGCATGAGGTTGTGGGAAAACTCCGTGCGAAAGCGGCTTTGCCCTACAGCTTGTACGAAAAAATTTTGTGTTTAGGAAGTTGCTATTTCTCAAAAGTTGTCAAACTTACTGATTTTATTAGAGAAACAACTAAGATTGAAGCCCAATTTTAGAGTTTTTGGTTGTACCCATTTCATCCGGCATCAGTACAACAAATACGGAAAAAAATCAAAGAATAACCCCCAACTTCAGATAGGCTCCTAGCACTATAATGGAAAATTGTTCTGTTTTTTTTTGTTAATTTACCAACTCTGATTTTGAATAATTTTGTTATCCTTGTGAAAAGCAAGGGTAGTGCAATGGGGTACTCGACTTTTTTCCGTAAAGAATTTTGTTCACTTGAATTCCATTTTCAACGCGTTCCACGTTTAAAAGCTGTAATTTAACAGCGGTTCTAGTGCTTCTGAAAAGATACTGTTTCTACAGCTGAGCAAATTTAAAATATAAGTCTATTTTGTCGTCGGTTTTATTGATTTCGACCCAATTTTTGCCGGCTTTTTTGCCGGGTGTGTAATTTTGTAAATTTTTTGGTGGGTTTGTTAAATTATTGTTCAAGTGGATCTTTTCAGGTGTTTAATGTAGCTCATGGTCCCCTGGCTTATATACACGCCCAAACTTTATGTTAGAAAAGATATATTTTTTGAAATTTTCTGCCTGAATTTTTATTTGCATTCATTTTCTGTTTTCGGAAGCCAAGTTTCTGATTTATTATTTTTTTCCTACCAGTGCGTAGAATTCGTTATAGTTTTAATTAGTTTATTATGTTTTAGCTTGGACCATTTTCACTTGAAATCGATTAAAATGAAACTACTTTAATCTATAACACACTAAATTTTTTCAAACGTCAAAATTTTTAAATCATAATTTTCCAGAATGTTTTTTTACTTGACTGTTTTGTCTACGAAAGAATGTTATAAGTGTCGGACGAGTTCAGGAGTTTGGTTTTTCTGGCTGAAATTTTTAAAAGTTTTTTTTCGAGTTTTATAGCGTCAACTGTTTGGTAATTCATGCGACTCTTGTTCGCCGAAAGACCTACCTCGGCGAACAACCGGACTTAAAACTGCTGCAGACGGCGCCCGAGAACGTGCTGAAGTTCGTTCAGAAGACTGGGCTTTTCTAGCCCCCTATTTCAAGATAGAAGGCCGTCACACACAACAACAACTCTTCAAGCATTTATTTTTTTTTAAATTTATTTTTTGACTTCTTTCTTTACAATCTTTACTTATCGCAAATGACATTTGGGGCCTTTTTTATCTCTAATTTTACATGTAGGACATGCAGGCTGTCTGGTTGCCAGGTTTTAAGCCAACGTTTTGTGGAAATTTAGGAGTTTTTGGATCTCGATTTTTGCACCAAAGTTTTATCGCTTTCATCTATTGGTACACTAGTGGACAAAATTAAGCGCAAATTCAGGTTTTTTCTATCAACATTATCAATTTTCAAAGTTCGTTTTGGACAACATTTACTTCGAACTTTGGCAAAAATTTTGCATAGACCAAGAGCAAATGATCAGAGTTACCCTCTGTAAAGATATCAAGGTTTGGCTTCTAAGACTGAATCCGGGCCTGAAAATGCCCAAGTTCTTTATCTGCACAAACTTTCTCAAACTGCATGAAATGTAAGGAGCAGCCGAGTTGAGTAAAGTTTTCAAACTGATTGGTTCAATTTTCTCGCTGAGAATGCTTGGCGTCGCAGGAACAATTTTTTTCTCTGCTGTTTGGGAAAGAGTTCACTCCGATGCAAAACTTAGTGCATATGAGGAAATTTGGAATTTTCCAGACCTGGATTAAGTTGACAAGTCTTTGAAGCTAAATCTTCATAATTTCAGAAGAGTAAATCAGATAATGTGCTCAAATGTTGCTGAAGCTCGAAATAAAGTTTGTCCAACAGGCATTTTAGATTTAAAAAACCTGAAAATTTGCTTAAATTTGTTCACTAGTGTGCCAGTTAGTACTTCAGTTATTAATTCAGATTTCTGAGATGCTTCAGAATTCTGTATCTCAGCGAAATAAAAACTTCATATATTGATCAATTTTTCTCAAATTGGATCAATTTTTTTTGTTTTATTGCGTGCACGACTCTTTTCTAACTGCCTGTGGGCTAAGTTTTATCTCTTATTTCTTAAGTTGGGTTATTTTTTTCAATGTGATAGCACATATTTATAAGTCGGTTTCTCAACGCTCGAGCTTGCTCCGCTCCTTCTTTAAAAAGTTTTAACCGTTTTTATTGGGGAAATACTTCATACCAGAGTAATCCTTGCGGGAATTTAAGTGCTACCTCGTTTATCTTTCTGTGTGGATATGCAAGATAAGTTTCGATGGCTGGCTCATCATATTGGTTTTAAGGTACACGAGTTTCTGAATATTTATTGACTTCTCTTTGTGCTGTGCACTTAAAAAATCCCAACTGTAGCTAGATATGTTGAACTGTTTCTTCATAGCAGTAATCCGCTGTCTCCTTGCTGCTATCAATTGTTGCGATGTGAATGCGTTGAGCCAAAGTAAAAGTGTCTCTACAGTGATATAGCTTCAAGTACCTCGTAATCAATTGTTTTGTGGTACTATTACCAGGCATTATTTTTTCACTGTCAGAACTGAAAAATGTTGTTTTTGTCAGTTTCGCGATTGGTCTGTGTATTAGTTACTTTATTTATTTTTCATCGTAAATATAATATGATTACGATTTAATGCGTGAGTGTTCTTTTATAGGTCTTGGTGTTTTTTTTCAGGAAAAAGTTTTAAAATTTGTTCAGGCTCATATGCACTTTTTCGCGGTATGAATTCTGATTTCTTTTTAAGATCAGTTCATTTCGTTTATTGAAAGGAGGGCAAACGCCACTATCGAAAAGCTATAGTGTTGTGAATGACTTCTAATTTCGAAAATGAAATTTAATTATCAGATTACCCAGCAAAGTGAAAGTTTTACCTATTAAACTAGTTTTCTCAAATTGGTTAATTTTATCAAAAAAGGGTCGAGGATAAGTTGTTCGTGAAATCCAAAGAATTTTATGAGCATGTATTTTTTCTTATAAAAAATTCTTTTTAAAGAACCAGTCAGTTTTTTTTCTAGTTTCCTTGCGTTATTTACTCTTTTCCAACTGTCAATTGGCTATGTTTTAAATGCATCACTTTTGAACCACAATTTCTTTTCAGGATCCTTCGTCTGCCAAGCGGATCAAGGTGACTACACAGCAGACATGGACCTCGGTTGTCTACAGGAGTTGCCGCTCTATGCTCCCAATGTTACCAATGCTGACAGTCCCATCCTGTTGGACCGTATCTTGACACTGTACAGAACTCACAGAGGCATGACTACTGCTGAGGCGGAAATGAATTATCTGGAGGTGGCGAAGAAACTGACTTTGTATGGCGTGACCTTGAAACCGTGCACCGATGCAGCAGGCGTTCGACTGTTCCTAGGAGTGAACTCTAGCGGAGTCTTGGTGTTCCGAGATCAACTGAGACTGAACCGATTTGCATGGGCAAAAATTATTAAGATATCCTACAAGAAAATGGAGTTCTCGGTCAATTTGGTACCTGGAGACTACGAAGGAGTTGAGAGGACTATAGTGTTTAAAATGGATAGTCAAAAAGAAGCGAAAAGCTTCTGGAAGATCTGCATCGAGCATCATCAGTTCTTCAGACTGCTCTCGGCTAACCCAAAACCGAGAAAGATTCCGTTCGCTACATCGCACCCGACTCTAGTCGGTCAAACTGAGTACGAGATCAAGAAGTCGGCAACACTGAACAGAGGTGACACTTTCCCGAGAAACACTCTGAACGCCAGACGAACGCAGACGCTTCCAGCGGTGCATCATCAGTCGGGAATAAGAGCTCCGCCAAGTCCTCAAAGTGGCGAGTACGAGCCTAGACGACACGAGAACTTACAGCAACAGTTGAATAATGGGAACTCACTTGTGAATGGGACTACTGTTGACGAACCAGCTGAACATGGTTTGAATCATCTGTATTCTGTTCCCCAGCGAGTAGTAGACGAGACATCGGATAACCCAGCCTATTCACACTCGAGGGTTCATTCAATGAGCGATCACCAGTACTCGAATAATGGAGGTTTGTGAGCGTGTGAACAACTAAACGTCTCCGTCAAAGTTTGAGTCTCTTGGGGCTTTGTAATGGGTATTATGGAAAGAGTTGAAATATCTTGTGCCTCTTGAACAACATTTTTTTAACATTTAAATTGACTGTGAAACATTTTTATGAACGCGATAGTAGTTTTCCATGCATCATCCTTTCATCCGTAGATACCCAATTTCGATAATAATTTAACAATCAGATTATTTTATAACTTTTTGTTTTCTGTTTCATTTTGAGATCTCTAGTAGTTTTGGTCTGTCTTGCTTAGACATAGTGCAACATGCAACTGTTACAACCACAGTCAAGACTTCTATCCGCATGCCGCCCTCGCAGCCCCCTCCCAGGGTAGTGACCAGTGCACCCACACCAGACTCCCCGACCTCTGAAATATCCGGTTCGAATCCCGCGCGGAGTCCCGCTCCACTGAACACTGAGGCACAACAAGTGAATGGTCACGCGGCGAGATCTCCCGGATCCCCTTCTGATGTCACCTCAGATTCGGAGGCCGGCGAGGAGGAACTGAATGCCCCACTGATGCAGGAGGGACTTGTTCCTGCTGGGGTGACTTATACCCAGACAACAGAGCAAGTGCGAACTGCGAGTCTGGTGTACCATCACGAAACTACAGATGCATGAGCTTATAACTCAATCGAGAACATTCGGCAAATTATGCACGTGACTGGATAAAGATATGCACTTTTTGGGGACTGTCAATGTAAAGCGAAAGCGTTGTGAATTAATTTGATGCTGAGGTTGAGCAAAAAATAGGAACAAAAGGGAACTCAAAGAGTGAGCGAAATCTTAGTTAAAGTAATTTAAAATCTTCCCAATCATCCTGTAGTCTAACTAAAAGACAATTCAACGGTAACGTTCTTTGATATTTTTGCAATTATTTGCGGCTATTTTTGAAAAGCTAGAAAAATTAATCTTCTGGGATATGAATAGGATGGCAATTATCAGTAGTTATACAATTATTTCACAACTAAGCTTTGGTTTGAAAGTTCGAAGACTTGCTCCTGTTAAAAAGGATCTGCTTTATTTGAAACTTTCACTTTAGGGTTTGCTTGGATCTTCCTTTCTCACACGGATAAATGCGAAGCTTTCTTCCTAATAGAATCCTGCAGTATTTTCGTAATCTAGTTTGGATTTCATTTCGTATCTCGGTAGAGAAATTTGTTTGTAAAGTAGCTTGGCCGCAAGTCAAATGAAGCTAACTAAATTGTTAAGTTTCATTTCTGCAAACTGCCAAAATTTTGTGCTGTTTGACTTGTGGCTCAAAAATCTATCGCGTTATTTTGTAATTGAAATAAATAAATTAATTCTATATCTTCCCTTTCACCCACCTGAAAGTAAATATTTCTCATCTTTTGTAGACTGATTGATTGTATACATTCATTCCTTCGGCGATGATATATATGGTAATTCGATGAGACAGCCGTGCATGTTTAACTGCTGTAGACAAAAACTGAGATCCACTGAAATTGCAAAATTACATCTGAGTCAATACTTTTCTACATGTTTTTGAATAAAAATTTGAAATTTCGTTTTACACTAAAGAGAACTTTTGAAGAGTTATTAACTGTCGCAAAAGTCTTGGATTCGCCGCTGACCTGAGAATTACTTCAGTGCAAAAGAAATAGTTTGAACAAATTAGCGCTGGAGTATTCTAGGCGACCAACTTTCGTATATAGAACGTTACTCGATCTCTTATATCGCTTTTAAGCAGACTAAAACTCAAAATCTTTCAAGCCGGTTTTTCTCAACATTGGGACATTTTTTGAATCTTTCTAATGTTGTTCGAATAACAATTGAAAAGGCTTTTATACGATATAATACTGGACCCGTTCCGATGTTAATTTGTGATATCTGATTTTGCGTGAAAAAAATACCCAATCCGAAGTTCCTCTCCATTTTTTCAATGGTCGAAAAAAATGAAATTTTTTTAAATAAAAAAACAAGCATTATGTTTTCCTTTCCATTCAATTGGAAGTAGTGACAACCATTACTGAATTTTTGAATAAGAATTTAAGTTTTTCGCATCAGACGCACAAAAAACTAGATAATTTTTTTTTAAATGCGCATAAATTGTTCTCAAAATACTTTGCCTCCTTTTCAAAATATAATTTTCACCATGTTTTTGGCCTTCATTGGATGTTTTACTCTGAATAAATCTCATGCGTGGCGGAGAATGAAGTAATAGTAAACTATTCAATTGAATGCTGGACAAACGGTTGTTTCAAAGGATTTAGGTTTTTTGAGAACAAATGAAAGTTTACTTTGGAGCACATGCAGAAATATTTCATTAAGGAGATATATTTGAACACTTAACGCGTTAAAGAATTAATGTTCCTGACTGAGAAATGATATTTCAATGAAACCAACTATTACTTTTTTGTATTGTGCTGTATTGTTGAAGAGAAAACTTTTTCCGATATTGCAGTTAGTGTGAAGAGCGGATGCAGTTTCGCAATTGACTTTGACAAATACATGAATCCATCGATTCCAAAGCTGACGATTTGAGAAGAATCCATTAGTATACTAGCCGATCAAACGTCTCAGCTCAATCAATAGATGCCTCTCGATATTTTCCGGAATACTTTGTTTTAATTACGATCTACAGCGTGCTACAAAACTTTGAATAGACCATCCCTCATATATAATAGCCAAAAAACTAGGCTAATGAATAAGAATTAGGTGTTTCAATGTATTTTTTCAGTTCAATTATTTATTCAAGCGAAGTTTATGAAGTTACCCAGTCCAATTTTTCAGTTTCAACTTTGCATTTACTGGTACTATGTATGAAAGCATGTCTGAAATGCGCAGCAATGAAGGTTCTAAAAAGAGTTAAAGATTCTTATTGAGTCTGCAAAGAGAAGTTTTAAGCACGTATTGAGCGCAACTTTGATTTTCAAGACTTATTTGATGTTTTGTTTTGAATGTTGAAAGTTCATATATGCCGTTTTTTGTTGATTGTCTGCAAAATTAATTTAAATTGATCAACAATTTTTCACGATCTCAAAAAAAAACTAAATCCTCTGAAACAACTTTTTGTCCGACAAACACTTTATCCAAATTCATGATAAGTTTTCAAAAAAAACTAAATCTTTTGAAACAACACTTTGTCCCATCATTCAATTTCAAAACTACCCTTGCGATAAGCAAGGGTATTGCAGTCGCGTACTTGACTTTTTTCACGTAAATAACTATGTTGACAGAATCTTTATTTTCAAGGTCTCCATTTTCAGTACATTGAACGTTTAACAACTAGTTACTGTGTCTAGAGTTAATGCGTTAATGGATTAACTGATAAAAAAATTGATATAAACTTGCTTTTGTAGGCTTAAATGATTTTGGCCCAATTTTTGTCGGTTTATTTGCTGGCCGTTTGTTTAAGAAAATTGTGATCTAGAAAATTGAGAATTAGTTGTTTAATTCAGTTGAAAGAACATAACAAGCGCAAAAGCTTGTTTATAAACGCTTCCTGAAAAGGTTTTTTTAATACACGTTAAACCTATCAGTTTGAAAAAAAAAATTTTTGTGATTTTTTGTTAGCTTTTAAATTTTTTTTGCAGTTTTTTTTTCGAAAACCGTTTTTGTTGTCGTTTTCTGCGATACTTAATACGGTTAGCTGAACACTACTTAGTATCAAATATTTTTTGGGCAATTTCATTTCATATCCATGAAAGTTGATAGTAGAGCGTATTGTTCAAATGTTTAAAGTTTTTCTTGATTAGTCTAAAATATAATTTCCTAAATTTTCGGAAAGCTTTGTTTTCAGATTTTGACTTGAATGTTTTGTCTCGCGGATGTTGCATGATATTTAAGATGGTGTTTCTAGCAGAAATGCTTTGAAAATGATGAAATTTTGTTGTTTTTTGCACTAGCGGGTGTCTTTTTTATTTGTGATCATTTTTTTTGTCGTTCAGCTACCTTACCTTTGCGTATTAGCGTCATATTTGACAAGGTTAATGTAAATGAGTTAAAAATATTGGCTTTTAGAATTTTCTATATTTCTGCTAATTATTTTTTGTAGTATTTGCCTGAATTATTTGTAGCCAAGTTCGTTCAATGATAAATTTTTGCATTCATTTTGATTTTTGTTTGTTGCAAGCAATCGAAAATATTTTTTTGATACATCCGGACGTTCTTAATCTTTGGTTCCAATAATGATTGTTTGCTTCATTTTTTGCTCGGTATGAGATATATTTAGAGGTCAGCTCTGTGAAGAAGGATGAAATTTTAAACAATTGCGATTTTTTGACAACCAATTTAAACTTTTTATAGGCAAGATTTTTTTCTAAAGAATGTTTTGTAGCTTGAAAATTTTGGTAATTTTTAATTTTCGATAGGATTTTTTTGCGACTTTTTTTTGTAAGAGTCAAAAACACCAAATAACTACAATCTTACCATTTCATCTTGCTTAGTATTTTTCAACGTTGATTTCAGAACATCAATTTATGAGTAATTTTTTTTTTTGATTTATGATATCAATAATTATTACACTTGCGAGAGCAAGTGTCTTGTAATCGGGAACTAGACTTTTTTCCCCGTAAATAACTTTAAGACATCACTGTCGGACTTTTGTTTGTCTGCTTATGATTTGTCAGCTTATTTGCGAAATGGAAGAACTATCCTCTGCTGCCAGCGTTTTTCATTGTAGTTGCGAGTATTTTTGATTTACTCCTGTAATTAGTAAAATTAATATCCCGGTCGTTGTATGTCTACTTTGGCTTTCCTTTTCGTTTCTTTTTGCTGAAAAACTTTATTCGGCCTAAATCGTTTCGACTTCAGTTTTATCGTCTGAGATATCTTTTTTTGTTGCTTCAAGAGCAAAAAAAGATCGATTTCTTGTTGAGAAATGAAAGTAGTTTTTGTTGCAAGATATCAAAGTTTTGAAACTTGTTTCTCAAAATTTTTTGTGACAACAATTTCTGATGGCTTTTTTTTGTTTTCAAATCAATGGGTTTCTTACCACTTGTTGTCGGCTTAGTGGCCGCTCGGTAAATTCAAAAAGCTTATTTCGGTAATAACGTTTTCGGCTGTTTTTGTGAAATTATTTATTTTTCGGTAAGATTTTGTTTTTCGAATTTTTTGACTCTTACTATTTGCTAGCTTGCAAAGCTGCGCTTGCGTTGTATCGCAAATGATGGCAAACTCCGCTTAGCCTCTCTCTACAGCCTTGAATTTTTTCGAAACTCTTTCTGGTCAGTTGTATATTTTTCAGTTTTTTAATAGATTGTTAGCGGTTAGAATATTACTTGAAACGGCTTTTAGAACTTACGTTTTCTTCTCAGCTGGACAAGGCCTAGGTAGTTGAGCGATCTTTTTAACATATATATATATATATTGCCATTAATATTAACAAAGTTCACAAACAAACTTGAACGCTTCTATGCTTACTGATGCACATCTATAATTATAATCAATCGGTTGATTTCGATTCACTTTGAGCATTTTTCTAGCTTATCATTACAATTGTGACGATTATCTTACAAAGTACTCTTATCGGCCAAAGGAACACATTGAAAAGCAACGGCTCCAAAATGTAGTCTTGCGGCAGGCTAAATCGATTTAGTTTCTAGATTGAACTTAAAGTGATTGGCCAAATTTCAAGAGATTTGTTCCTCGGAAAATGTAGCAACGTAACTTTAAAAAAGTAATTGATAAATTTTTGAATACATAAAAAAATCCGTCAAATTCTCTTAAAAATCAAGAATGTTAACTATGACATGTAAACCAAACTGTTCGGTTTTGAAGTTTTTTGTTTACGAACGACTCTAAGCGTTCTATCGTTTTTATGAATAATTTTTGAAATTAGCCAAAAAGATTAGCTGGTTTATAATTGTAGGAATACGATATTTCCCCATTTTTTGTTAGCTCTGATCTCCATCAAACCTAAAAGATCAGTAAACCAATCTTGAAACAAACATTCTCTAAAGTTTCAGTATGACTTTCATAAATTACCGGTAGAATCTTTTGCAATAATTTTTGACTTATACCATCAAGACCGAAGCTGTCTTCATTCCAAAAACGTTTTAAAAAATTTATTGAACGTTATATACAAACGCTGCCCCTTGTTTAACTGTTTATTGTTCTAATTTGTAAATCTACAGTAAAAAAAACTGTAAGGTGTTCTTCCCTCGCTTTTTTCTTGATTCTTTCCATGTATAAACTTATTTGACTAAAAAGCTTTCCGCCTTGTTTTTTTTTTGCTGTACTTTTGCGAAAACCACACTCTGTGGCATGTTTAGTTGAATACCTCTTTAGATGCGTAAGTTGATTTAGAAACGGTTTTGAACTTTCTGCGGTAGAAAAAAAAAATTACTGCAATCTTTTGAGTTGAAGTGAAACCCTTTCGAGTTTTGGAAAAGAAAAATATCTTCAAATGTCATTTTCATTATGAACGTTCTAGCGCATTTTTGTTAGACGAATGACATATAGATAAAAAAATTAATTTGCAATCATTCATTTTTGATGCAGAAATTTTACATATTCTGCTCAGAGTTTCAGGCCAAACATCAGCACGAAAGATCAACTAAAAAGCATGCGTAATAATTTAAATTGCAACTTTCTTGAAGTTTGAAAATTGGAAAATCTGAAAATAATCTGCACAATATTTGCTTAAAATGAATTAAAAAAGGATGAAAATTTAAATCAATTCCATTGTTGTGAATAAAATATGTTTGAAATTGAAACCAAAAAAAATGTTGCCGAAAACTGGATTTAAATTAAGTTGAATCATTTGAAAATTATTTTTCAAGCCTCATTCTTCTATAAAACAAAATCGTTTTCAAGTCGAATGAAATCGCTATTTTCAGGTCTTTGCTCTCTGATCTGTTTTGCATTCCATTTCTTGTCAGTACGGGTAACATCTTCTTTCTTCATCAACTTTCAAACAAAATTGCTTTGTTTTTTTTTTGAACGAGAATACATTTCAATTTTGTTGCAGCAAAAAGCGAGGCTGTTTCTCATCTGTATTTTTAGGAGCGTGTTCATTGTTTGCGACAGGTTGCTCCACATATTTCGTGAGATTTTTGAAATGATTTATATCTACACAAATTAGTTTTCAAAATTATAACATGCGAAATGCATAGCGGGACCGGTCTATTATAATTGCTTTTTTGAGGGACCACTCTATGATAGTATTACCAAAACGAAGATATTCAATAGCCACAACATTTTTCGCTAAACAGCTTCAATTGCCTGTTCTAGACGTACTGTTAACTGATTGTATAAATTACAGAGATTGCATTGACCATCTAAGAAGTTATACAGTTTTCATAATTTGATAATGCCCAATATGACTGCCGTTTACTGGTCTCATAACAGACTGGTTACAGTTATTTACTGCATATATTAAACAAAAGAGTTTTATACTTCGAAAAAGTTATTTCATCATTTCTTTGCTAATGAGGGCTTGTACTGAGGGGGCAGCTCGACTTCGATGTCCAAGTAAGAAGAATTTATCATCCGACGAACCTCTTCTAGAGACTGATCAATGGAGAGTGTTAGTTGATTTCCAGATATCTTGGGAAGATTGCCGAAGTCAAATTTTTCCAGATTCTTCTTCAACTCGTGCACGTTGAGGTACTTGACGTCCAGGTCTCGCAGGAAATCCCAGAGGTTTGCCAGCACGTTTTGCTTTTTCTTCTCTTTCCCGAAGTATCCCAATTTAGTCTGCAGCTCCCTGATGATGGCGATCAGCTCTCGACACCTTAGAATTGCCAAATGATGTGTTTTATAGCAGCTCAATAAAATGCATGCAACGCGAAAGCTAGCTTAAGCTTGGATGCACTAAAAGAGCTTCAAAATTATGAGTGATTGAACTAAAAACTGATCTCTTAAACTATTTCTCCTCAGTAAATAACATATTCAATGGTTAAGCGTGTGCTTAAAGCAATTTCCGATCAAAATGTTTTTTTTCCATCAAACGCACTAGTCTCGTAAAATCACATTTTTTTCTTTCTAATAATCGATTTCAAAGAGGATACGCAGTAACATTTACTATCCAATTATTGGCGAAATTGCTGTCGTTGATATCTGTAATCAGGAAAAAAAATTATGCGCTGCATTTTTTAATGCTTTATTTTATCTTTGTCTGAATTGCCACATGAAGTTCATTCAGAATCTACAGCCGAAATTAATATAGTCAACAACTGGGCTCTAATTTAAACGTGTAGTTAAATCTTTTAGGACCTCGGTAAAATAGTACCTTTTCAGTCTGAGCTCCACGGTGTCGACCATGTTCTGGACCCTGTGCCGTTTCAGCAACAGGAAATGTCGCATCATGTTGTCGTGGAAGATGTCAATCATCTCCACATCACACTTGGACGGCAAGGGTCTCTGTACCGTGCTCACATTGAATAAGTGGAACATCTCGAAGCTGTCAAAGAACTTGGCCACCATCCAAATCACCTATGTCAGTCACTCATAAGTGACTAATAGCTTTTCTTTCATCCCATCTATCCGTTTTTGTCGACTGAATTTTTTAGATCAACCAAATTGATTTTCCAAGCTCTCTCAAATCACAATAAAGTACCGTATTTTAGCCTAATTTTTGGCGCCGCAGGCAAATTTTACAAAAAAAACGTTTTTTTTTTTTACAAATTTACCATCCCTCTTAAAATGAATATATTGGCGCCAAAGGTGCCTTTAGAAAAATTTTAGGGTCGGTCAGCAAGAACGGGTGTCCTAATATAGTTCCAAAAGGGGACCCTGGCCAGGGGGTCTAATCCTTGAGGGAGAGAAGACTAAATCCACTACTGCCTGGTCAGGGGCGGATTTAGAAGGGGCGGGACAATCCTTCTCAGAGATTCGACTTTCTCGAAAACCAAAGGATCACCCTTTGGTATTATTTTATTTCGTCAATTTTTGGCCGACCAACCGTAAAATAATTCTAAGGCGCCTTCGGCGCTGTGATATCCTACGAGGTATCTTGTTGGAAAACTAAAATTCAAAAGAATTTATTTTTGTTCTTGAATAAATAGTTTTCTCTGTTTTTAGAACTGCTGAGATCGTCTTTGGTTTTAGTTACTCTGATCTCTCCGAGTGCCAAAAAAACGCGGTTTTTTGGTCTAAATTTTTCAAAAGTGCTAGCAAACGGCACTTTAAACCTGTTTTTTTTAACAATATGCCTGCGGCGCAAAAGAATTTGTCAAAGTAGGGTCTTTATAGTGTTCTGGGAGCTTTGACATATAAAAAGGTAGACAAAGTTTTTGAAACATTTTTGAAAACCCGCTTCCCCTCGAGAAAATCCTAGATCCGCTTGGTATCACCACAAGTTATTGTTGCAGCTGATATAACGCTCAAGTTTCGTGCTAGGCAAAAAATCTTCAGTCTAGTGTCCAATTTTCAAAGGAAAAGTATTTCAACCCACCTGCATCTCAACAACGTGGCGTGAGTTCTGCTCCACGAATGTGTGTCCAACTGGCACTCTGCTCACATGCTGTAAGTCACACTTGCTCAATGCGATGCAGAATTTTCGATGTTGATTGCACAGACACTCCTGATAGCATTAACATCAAACAAACTGAACAGTGAGCAAATAGGTATTCAGATTTTTTTTGCGTGCTTTGACTGTCAAAAAGTTATTTTATCATAAATTTTTAGTCAACAATTTCAAACGTTTTTAGGAAAGTGTTTCTGGCAAATATTTTGGCAAAACACTGGGAAACCACTACGTTTTTGTTCTAAAATGTCGGCAAACCACTACTAATTTCATCTCTAGCTTCGCGATTAAATAGCGTATAGTTTCTTTTTTTCGGGTTTCTTGCGTTGTTGCGAGCCGAGGTCTCACCTGGAACAGTTCCTTGATTGCGTCGGACATACGCCAGCTATGGGCGTCCCAGACGAGGATGATGCAGTCGCACATGTTGGCAAACCACTTGATCACATCCACCATTTCATACCCATCCTTCGCCTTAGTTGACCCTTTCACTATTCCTACAAGCAATAAGCTATTATACTTACTCGCTCATAAATTTTAGGTGAATGTCAACAATCTAAAGTGCTGATTTAAAAAAGCTAATATACTTACTCGCTCGTAATTTTGATGTGAATGTAAACAATCTATGTACAGTGCTGATTTAAATTATCGGGACAAAACGAACAAATTTTGAAGTTTCGAACGCGTTTTTCTCAAATTGGGTTAAAATTAGACAAAAAAGTGAAGATAATCTTTTCTCTGAAATTCTCAACAAAAATTTTACCCCAAAAATGGATCATTTTGACTTTTTAAGAATTAATTAAGAATTACGTTGAAATCACTTTGATTAGAAAGATGCGAAAATTATATCACAAGAAGCCTTTTAGACATTCCAACAAAGTTTTAGAAGGGTTAAATCTACAAAACTTTTAAGCAAAGATTTTGGGTTTTATATATTAAAAATTACATTTCTTGGCACAGCCTGCGAATGTGCTCGTTAAGCAAGTATCATGGTAGTTGCAATTGTTTCTCATTGTAGTTTTAGGGGGGGGGGGGCAAAAGTTTTTTTCTAATTATAAATAGATTTTTTCCGACTCAACTGGTGCCTGCTTAATGATTGTCGGTTTTGTTTTCGCTTTGTAAGTTTTGTTCCGTTGCTAAATTAAAATTAAATAGTCCTGCTTGGCCTAGTATTTTCGCCCATATTGTTCGCCTAGAATTCTTGTTTGATAAAAAACAGGTATCAAGAAAATGTATGAGATTGGGTTTTTATTTTCATGTTTTTTGAGGCGCTTATTTTATCTTTTTGAGGGAGGCTTTCGTGTTGTTTGTTGTCTGCGAAAAATTACCCGGAGTGTCGACGATGTAGCAGTTCTCGAGGATTGCAGCTCCACTGACTAAAACGTGGTAGAGGTTCTCGAGGAAGTCACTTCCGAATTGGTTCAGTTCCCTGAAGGGTCTCTTCGGGTCTGAGACCAGATTGCGACCACTCACTCGTTCATCCTTGTTCGCTTTATCAATGATCGAGAAGCCATTTGTGGACCTGCAAATAAATGCCCACTGCTTTTTCTGAAGGATCTTTCAAACATTTGATTTTAGGCATTTAAGGATGTTGAGCACTTAATTTTAAAAACGATTATAGGCAAAGCTTGATCAAGGACAGTCTTTATAATTCATTTACTTTGAACCTCAAAATTATTTTCGAAAAACACATCAATTAACAGTTGCATTTATTTGTTGCCGTTTTAACTCTGCTGTTAACGATTCGTTAGCACTAATGTATTTTAATCAGTTATTTTAAACCACAATACACCAGATTACAAAACTCACTGCTTGTGAGAACGGGGTAGTATACTTTTTGCAATGAAAATAAGAGCCGCCATGTTGTTACCGTTCGGGACTGACGATACTGCCCGTGTACTTTTTGTCGCCCAGGAGGAAGTTGATGAGGCTGGTCTTGCCCGTGTTCACCTCCCCTATCACCAGCACTATTGGCTTGTGTCTGAAGAAGGTCTCGTTCAGCTGTGGTTCCACCAGCTCAAAGTACTTCAGCTGTTCTTCTATTTTGTGAGGTCGAGTGTTGTACAAACTAAACGCACAACGCCAATATAATCTCGAGAATTTAAGTGCTATTAGCTCAATATTTTAGAAGGCGCCTTTCATTTGAGTTTTATGGAGCGGGTTCCAATGTCTGAAAGAGGTGTTTTATCTATTTTGCTAATTGGTATGAGGTTTCCCGGATCTGAGGTTTCTCGAGAGGGGGGGGGGGCATTTCTAAAAAAAGGTTCAAAAAATTTGTCACATATTTTAGGTAGAGGAAATTGGTTTTCCGAACTCTCCCAAATCACTAATAAGACCCTATTTTGAATATTTTTTCTGTCCTACCGGTAATTTGTTTTGCGTTGCTTCATAATTAGTATATATAGGCTCTCTTAGAAAAGTGCTAGGGTCAGTCAGACAAAAATGGAGGTCTTAAAATAGTACCACGGAGGGACGAGGGAAAAACTAATGTTACAAAAACCAACATCTGTTCAGATATTTTTAAGCGAGGAGTTTTGAGCAAATTCGCCTTTTATCTTAGTTGCGTTAACTTCCGAAAGAAAGACTTGAACAAATTTTTTTTATCTAAGTTAATGTGTTTTTTACGATTCACTATTTTTCTATCAATTTGGTTGCTTTGCTGGTAACAGATTTATTGTAGGAGTGCTGAAGTTTTGCAGTTTTTTTCTCTTTGGAGTTGCATTTGTTTGACATCGGTTTTTCTTTCATTTTTTTCTTTTCACTCGAATTACTGCGTATAATTTTGTTATGCTAGCTTTTATTATTCAAGTCTGTAATTTGATATTCAAACTAATATTTACGACCTCTTTGCTAAGGCCATGAAGTTATAGTGCTCCAATAAGTCAGATTTTGATCTAATTTTTCATGCTTCATGACATTTTGATACATTTGCTTTTTAAATGTAGCAATTTTTTAGTGCTTAATGTAAAAACACCTTTCATGCATTTTATAAAAGCTACATAAATGCATAATCATAAAATTTTAAAAATGTTTTTTTTTAAAAGATTTCATATGCCTTACTAAGTTTGAAGTATTACTATATTACTACATACTTTAACCATCATCTTCATTCTATCTAAAAATTTTTTTTTTGGAAAATTTTTGGAAAATTTGGACCTTTTTTTGGAAAATTTTGACAAAAAATTGAGTTTTTTCGGTCCGCGCTCCCCTTCAATGTTGGTATATATTGCGCCGAAGGCACCTTAACATCATTTTAGGGTTAGTTAGCCAAAAATTGATCCCATAAAATAATACCAAAGGGAGACCCTTTGGTAGGTGAGGTGGTCGAATCCCTGAGGGAGGGAGGCGTCCGCCTTCCCTAAATCCGCCCCTGGCTCTGAGCACTTAGTGTGTAGGAGAGCCAAATTTGATAAGACCTCCATTTTTTCAAAAATGGAGGTCTTAAAATAGTACCACGGAGGGACGAGGGAAAAACTAATGTTACAAAAACCAACATCTGTTCAGATATTTTTAAGCGAGGAGTTTTGAGCAAATTCGCCTTTTATCTTAGTTGCGTTAACTTCCGAAAGAAAGACTTGAACAAATTTTTTTTATCTAAGTTAATGTGTTTTTTACGATTCACTATTTTTCTATCAATTTGGTTGCTTTGCTGGTAACAGATTTATTGTAGGAGTGCTGAAGTTTTGCAGTTTTTTTCTCTTTGGAGTTGCATTTGTTTGACATCGGTTTTTCTTTCATTTTTTTCTTTTCACTCGAATTACTGCGTATAATTTTGTTATGCTAGCTTTTATTATTCAAGTCTGTAATTTGATATTCAAACTAATATTTACGACCTCTTTGCTAAGGCCATGAAGTTATAGTGCTCCAATAAGTCAGATTTTGATCTAATTTTTCATGCTTCATGACATTTTGATACATTTGCTTTTTAAATGTAGCAATTTTTTAGTGCTTAATGTAAAAACACCTTTCATGCATTTTATAAAAGCTACATAAATGCATAATCATAAAATTTTAAAAATGTTTTTTTTTAAAAGATTTCATATGCCTTACTAAGTTTGAAGTATTACTACATTACTACATACTTTAACCATCATCTTCATTCTATCTAAAAATTTTCGAAGCGAGCAGGGGCGGATCCAGAATTTTCTCGATGGGCCGCCATGTTGTTCTCGAGGGGCCGCCATGTTTCAAACAATTTTTGAAAATTTTGACTTGTTTAGGTCGACCAAAATGATTTCCAGGTCAAATGCCGTTTTTGGACCTTTTTTTGGAAAATTTTGACAAAAAATTGAGTTTTTTCGGTCCGCGCTCCCCTTCAATGTTGGTATATATTGCGCCGAAGGCACCTTAACATCATTTTAGGGTTAGTTAGCCAAAAATTGATCCCATAAAATAATACCAAAGGGAGACCCTTTGGTAGGTGAGGTGGTCGAATCCCTGAGGGAGGGAGGCGTCCGCCTTCCCTAAATCCGCCCCTGGCTCTGAGCACTTAGTGTGTAGGAGAGCCAAATTTGATTATGTTTTCAACGCGATATAAAAGTACAAGAAGTTATTGTCTGATGAGATCAATTTAAATTTTATTTGCAAGCTTTTCAGACGTTATGCGAGCAACAAAAAAAGATTCCCACAAGTGGTGAAGAGAGAAAGAGAGAGAGACTTCTTAGCAAAACGTGGGATAATGACCCTCTTCGCTGTTAAACTTTTCCGAAGAACAGAAGTTTCAAATTGTTTTTCTCGATGGTGTGAAAAAGTGTTTGATATATTTTTGTAGTTCAAAAATTTTTTTACGCTTGCGATTAGCAACCGTTATCAAACTGGAATATAGACTTTTTTTGGGTCAACAACTTGTTTAAGAGAACCAATTGTATCTTGGTTCATAATGAATTCAAACTTTTATGCATTACCGGCCAACTTAGCCTGAAGATATGGCTGGAGAGACAAAGTTCCTGGGTTCGAATCTGACCAGGGCTTGTTTTTTTTTCAAACGGGAAATTTTCTGTTTCAAATGAAATTGTCGGCCAATTATTTGCCTGTTTATCTGATGTCAGCCTAGTTGTCACATCTTGAAAACGTTTTTTTTTGCTGAGTGCGTTTTTCCTTAATATTGCCTTAGAACAACAAACAATTTGAGAAAGCCTCTCCACATTTTTCATGCGGATTGTATGTTTACCAAATGGTTTCTTTTCCATTATTTTAATTAGTTTAATATTCCCTTATAGAAAATTATTTCCTAATTCATTGAAAATTTTTTTCTCAGAATTTTCTACTGTTTTTCAAACAGGGGTATCAATTGAAAAACCTTCTACTCCCCTATGTGCTTGTATACTCACTTAGAGTCTATTTTTACTTGAACCCTCTGTCTGCAGCCTTCGAAAATGCCTGTGGGGAATATTTGACCCTTATATTTGATTTTTTTTCTCAAAAAAACCTGTGTAAAATCTAAGTTTTTGTTTCAACAAATAGAACGGTTTCGAAAAGCTCCTTGCATAAACGGCTGCACCAACATTTTTTAAACAAAAAGTTATCGCACTCGGAAAAGTCAAAACTTGGATTTTGACCTTTTTTAAAAAAAATTTTTTGACATAATTTCTCGAGAACTACCCTCCCAGATCTGAGATTATGGGTTCAATCGAAATTACAGTTTGAGTGAAATCTTCTGCATAAGCTGCTACTCTTTATTGTTTTACACACAAAAAAGCTATGATTCTCGGAAATGTCATTTTTTTGGACTTTTTGCTAACTAGCTTTTTGGAGTTTTTTTCGCTATTTATCCTGTCAAATCTGATATCATAGTTTTAATCGAAACAGCAGAATTCTTTATAATTGGCTATGCCCAGTTTGTATAAGAAAGAATTATGGCTCTTCTACAAGCCGAATTTTTCAAGCTTCGACAGTTTTTTGACTTAACGCGAAATGGGAATCTTCTTCACTTGAGCGGCACCAACCTGCTCTGTGCAGGGAAAAGTATGGATTTTAGAAACCGTTTTGACCGTTTTTAAGAATTTTTAACCGTTTCCTAGAAACTTTTGATTTCTGAAACCTGACGCAATGAAATCTTTGTTGAAAAGTTCAAGTGAAAGAAACAGTTGCGATATTAGTTCCTGCAGATGCCGGGGCTGCCTAATTTTTTGTAAGAAAAATGTTATCTCCTTGGAAACATTTATTAACTCCATTTTTTTCACTTATTTTAGGAGAAAAACAGCTGAGTGAGCTCTAATTTTTGAGATCAAATTTTTCGTGCCGCATCAGTATAGCAAACTCATTTAGAATCAAACACATACCTCCAGCTTTAACTGGGCCCACAAGTTTTGCATTTTGATTCTTAGAGAGCGTATTTTGAATTCTTCTTAGCAAATTATAGTGATTTGAACTCTAAAAAGGCATCGAAGGTCATATTGCAAAAAGTTAAGTTTAAACGCACATATTTTTAAAAAACTTTTTATAAATTTTTTTAAAAAAAATCACACGACTTGCATACTGAGAAATCTCGTCGTTCATTAGAAATTTAAAAACATCAAACTTATTCTAGGGAATGATTTTAGGAGAAGTTTTCAAAAAAACCTATAGGAGCAGCACTGTGAGCTAGTATTTGTGAACAGGGGCATGTTGAATACGAATTTTATTTAAAGTTGTGTCAAATTTTTTTCTTAGATCAAACCAATTGATTTCCCGTGCTTTCCCATAAAACAAAAATATAGCCAAAGACGGATCGAAAAACATCATTGAATGTAAGGAAACAAAAAAACTGGCGTATTTTTGAAAATTTTAATTTTAGAATTTAAAAGTAACAATTATATAGCTCTAACCCTCTTCGAATATCAAAAAGAATTTATTATTTACTCTTTCTTAATGAAACTATTCTAAATTGAAAAAAAAAAACTGGATTAATAAGTGAAAGTTTCCTTCCGCTGGGAAATCTAAAAATTAAATTTCTTTTTCGAAACAAAGTTGTCCACTTCGTATTCGTATTTTGAAGGTGCAATTTACTTAATTTTCAGCTGATGATTTTAAATTGAACTCAAGTGCATATATACCTAAGCGAATTCATAAATGCATTAGCGTGTTTGAATGCATATCTGTAGTTATTAGAGCAATTTAAGACTTTTTCCTGGAAAAAGAACAAAAGGAAAAATTCAACCAGACTCAAATAAGAGTCTTCACTGTGTTCATCGACTCTTAATAAACACCCGTTTTTGGGCAATCAATATAATTTTTTCAAAAAAAATAGCTCCTTTGAAATTTAGTGTACATTGGCACCGAAAAAAAAGCATTTTGAGAAGGATTGGACGTCAAAAAACGGATGTTCTAAAACAGTACTAAAAGGAGAGACCTGAGAAAATAAAAAATATTTTTAAAAAATTCTACAACCGTTTTGATCCACCCTGATAAAAAAAAGGTTTCGATTGCAATTTTTTTTGGTTGTCTTAAATTTTAAAACTGTGATAGAAAAACATCTCAAAAACAGTTCTTCAGACTCAGATTAGCTAAGTTTCTGGTGAAATCTGCACAATCCTTTCACAGACAAGATAACGGTTTTCAGATTTTTACTAACTCGTGCAGCTTCTTCATTTTTTCGTCCACATCTTCATCCACGAATGGCTCGAACTCCTTAAATGCGTTGCAATTCGAAGATGTGGCGTACAGTTTCTCCCTAAAACATCAGAATTATTTCAAACCAAGATGAGAAAAATTTCTAGTTCATGTAATTTGATCAAATCGAAACAAATAGTTTATCTTCCGATGTTTATCATGTTGACCGTTACCAGTGGCGTGCACAGAAATTTTTCTAGTGGTGGGTGGTTTTTCGGAGAATTTTGATAAGGATCAAAATTTCTACCCGAAATTTCTATAATGACCTAACTTTTCTGTGCCGCAAGCAAAATTTTCAAAAAAAGGCCAAAAAAGGCGGTTTTAGGCACTTTTTGGAAAATATTTGACTAAAAAATTGCGTTTTATTTGGCGCGCGCTCCCTCAAAATTAGTTACATTGGCATCAACGGCGCCTTTGGAAAATATTTGAAGTTGATCAGACAAAAATGGATGTAAAGTTATACCAAAGGGGGCCCTTTTGAAAAATTTGGCAACCAGAATTAAGGGGGGATTGGCGGTCTGCCCCCCCCCCCTCGGCACGCTACTGACCGTTAGTTAAGACGCATGATTTATTAGGGTTATTTAAATTGTGATTTTATTTTGGTTGCATTATTTGTTCCAGGAGTCAATCGTTTTTGTCAACAATTGTAAGCAAATTCAGCAAAAATCTAGAAATTATTGCAGGAGTTAACCGCAGTTTCCATACATTCTTATGAACAACAATTTATGTCATGAATAACCGTCTAGGTCTGTTGTCTGTGATTTTCGTGTTGTCGTTGCTTGTTGGCTTCGTGGCTACAACTGCCATACTAGTGGAGTCGTGCTCTATCCCGGATCCAGCCATCGATCGCTCCCGGTGGTCCGAAGGGACCTGACTCTGGGTTTTCGGACTGCCTTGGACTGCAGTCAACATCTTAGTCGAGTCCTGGTGACTCAACGCTGTCTGCCAATCGGCCGAAGTGTTCGGTGACTCTGCTCCTGAAATGTACAAATCTGTGAGCTGTGTTCAATTTTTTGACGAATGATCAACTTCATGCTGAAGTTTGTAGTTTTTGTTCTGAACACCCTCGAAGAGTGGGAAAAAACTACAGCATAGGGTCCGGTTTTCTTAAAAATTTTTCGCGCCAGTTTTGACTAGCTCAAGAAACCTCGTAGATAGTCAAGTTTGCTATCGTATTCAAACCCTTATTACCTGTTGTTCGGGATCTAAAAAATGTTTCAAAATTTTTCTGTGTCAAAAAAACTGGAGCCTTTTCGATTTTCACACTAAATTAGACCTCGTTTTAATTTTACGGCAAGTTTATTTTTTTAAATGATTTTTTGCAATTATTATTTCTCCGTCCTACAGTTTTCAAAGTAAATTAAAAAAAAGATTAAAAATTTCGTAAAATATTTATCGATTTTTTTTTTTGCAAAATTTCAATCATTCGTCTTTGTTTTTGAATTTCTTTTATTGAATAATTTCGGTCGCCGATGGTTAATAGTTTGAATTTTTTAATCGTCTGAACCCATGACATAATTAGAAACTTTTTCAAAGAGTGTGGGTGAAAAACTGTGTTGCTTTTTCTTGAACGCCAGCCTTTTTGATTTCTATGATACTCCAGCTCTACTTTGACAAGTTTATTCGCAGCAAGTGATTTTAAAGCATTCTTTTAACGCTTTAAATTTTTATTTTAAAAATTTTATCTGTTTTCTTGCAATTAATTTGTGATAAACTCATGCAGTTCACTTACATAAACTCTGGGGCAGGGGCGAACTTAAGGGGTTCGACCTCCTGCCGACCCAAAGGGTCCCCCTTTGCACTTTTTTAAGATATCCATTTTCGGTACCAATTTATACAAATTTTGAGGGGGAGGTCAAAATTTTTCAAAACAGGGTCTTTTTAGCGCTTTGGGAGAGCTCGGGGAATCAATTTGGCGCAACTCCCATAACCCTCCCCCCCCCCCTCCCCCCTCGAGAAAAACTTAGATCCGCCCCTGCTTTGGGGCTCTTTTTCTCTTCCCCTACCTCACACGAGCATCCGTTTTTTGGTGTAACGAGGGGTTTCACAAGGCTTCATTTGTCGACATGTCAATTTTCATACTGATCGGACAATGTGAACAATATATTTACTTGAAAAAATTGCAGGTTGGAAGGGGAGAAGGAAAAAGAGCCAACTCTAGATTTGGTCGATTTGGCAGAATGGATGCTCTCAAACAGCACCAGGATATTCTGTTTTCCAATCTTTGAAAAATACCATAGTTTTTGTTAACCTGCATGGCTATTCGCTTATTTACCCTTGCGATTAGCAAGGATAGTGCAACCGGTACCTGACATGTCCTGTAAAAAAAACTTTATTAACATGTTACAGTACCTCAGTAGTTACTTTATAAGCATAACATTTCCTGGTACTTCTTTTAGCTCATAGGTAACGCCAGGGGCGGATCTAAGATTTTCTCGAGGGGGGGGGGGGCGGATTTTCAAAATTTTGACGACCTTTTTTTTCTAGGTCGACCAAATAGATTTTCCGAGTTCTCCTAAAGCACTAAAAAGACACTGTTCTGGCCAAATTTTCTGCGCCGCAGGCAAAATTTTGAAAAAACAGTCCAAAAAAGGCGTTTTTAGGCGTCTTTTGGATAATTTTGCCCGAAAAATTGCGTTTTTTTGAGGCGCGCTCCCCCCTCAAAATCAGTACATTTTGGCGCCGAAGATGCCCTTAGAAAAATGTTAGGGTCCGTCACCAAAAATAGATATCTCAAAATAGTAAAAAAGGGGGCCCTTTGGTTCGGCAGGGGGTCGAATCCCTGAGAGGAAGTGTCCCCCCCCCCCCCCCAAATCCTCCCCTGGGTAACGCTCAAACTTGAGACGACCAAGTATTAGTGGTTCGAATCCCGCCGAGTAGCCTTCTTTCTCTAAATTGAAAATTTTCTGCTGGGATAGTTTCTGCTGTCGGGCTGTCCTCGTTCTTTTTATCGACAAACCTTCCACGTCGAATTATTTATCTGATTTTTTTTCTGAATTTTTCAACAATGTGGCAAATTATGTTTGAAGAAACTCTGCTCAAGATATAAGAAACAATTTTTTTTAATTTTAGTTTCTTTTTTTTCGCTTTGCTTCTTTTCTCATTTTCGTTACAGGAAACGGATCTACTTAACAATATCCCCCCCCCCCCTATGGTACCTACTTAAGAATCTCCACCCCTTTAAATAAATACAGTAAATTAGCACTGAGCTTTCTATTGAGAATTATAATTTTTCTGCATTCTGATTGGTTGAAAAATCGACCATTTTAACCTACTTAAGATTCTCCCCTCCTTTCTTGAAAGGGGTGGAGATTGTTGAGTAGATCCTAAAAGCTTTTTCTTTTGGACAAATAATTCCATCGCCTGTGTTTTGAGTTGGTGGCGTCCCTCATGCTTGAAGGACCGAATGCTTGAAATTAATTTTAGCTTACTTTCCGCCTATCAGAATTGAGTATTCAAAATCTCAAAATAAATCGTGAAAATCTCAAAGTAAGAAAATAAATCCAGGCCATTAGTGTTAATATTGACCGATTGGATAATAAGCAGATGCGTTTTCAAGACTGAAGATTTCGTAGATTTTGACCTCATTAATTTTGATAATTATTTGAATCGTATTGGGTTGTAACCCGCAATTCGTAATTTTTTTTTGTTGTTTTCCACTGACTTAATACATTTTCTGTTAATATTGACTTCGATTTTGTGAGAAAGGCATTTAGCCAGTAGAAACGCTTGGCGATTTTGATTGGTTGAAATTTTTCAAGCATTCGGTCCTTCAAGCATGAGAACCCTCCCCTTTTGAGTTTGTTAAATGAGATTTCAAGATTTCAAGTGGCAACACAAAAATGCTCAAGCGTGGCTAGTCTTGAAAAGCTTTGTTTTTTTGACGTCTATATTTTGGAGTAGGCTGCTCATGGGGTCTTTTCTGTTAACTGGCCCACAATTTATCTTTAGACTAATTTGAACATTTGATCATAATGCTTGATTCTGATTGGATGAAATTAACAAATCATGGGAACGAAACCTGAAGCTTAATTTGAAACATATCAGCTCATTCAAAGTCTTGGTAATTTTGGGCCGCATAACAGAAAAGACCCCACTTGAAAAGAGCTTAAATTCTGCACTCATGGGTCATTATCTTTGCCATTACCATGTACTGGTTGCAAATTGCTTGGAGTTGGGATGCGACTCCTGTTGTTGCCTCCATAGTCTGCTCCTTCTGATGTTGCTGTTGTTCTTGTTGTCTTTCGCCTAGTTCCACCAGGAGAGGGGTTGTTATCCTTACCATGCAGATAGTCACTTATCTGCGCACCACTCGCAGAGCTGAAGAAGTCCTTTGTTAAGAAAATATGACAGAAGCTTCAAACTGCAAAATAACAGCGGCGCCGAGATCCCGCTCAAAAACCGCTCAAGATATGAGCGGTTTGAGCGGTTTTTCAGCAAGATTTGAGCGGTTTGGGCGGTTTTTTGGAAAAACCGCTCAAACCGCTCAAATCTTGCTTATAAAACCGCTCAAAAACCGCTCATTTCTTGCGGTGATTTTTGATCGGTTTTTCAAGCAAGATTTGAGCGGTTTTTGAGCGGTGTTATAAAGAAAATCGATTAAAACCAACAAAAAGGCCTGGAAAAGTAATGTGACCCGGGTTGACCTCCCCACACCGCAAAAGCTTATCATACCGTACAATTATCTCCCCTTATCAATTTAGGGGGGGGGGGGTAAAATAATGTGTTTTCATAAATCAACTTTGAGGGCAAACTAAATTGATATAATTAATCAAAAAAATTAATTCAAAAATAACTATGAAATAAAATTTAGTTAATAAACATAACAGTAAGAAGATTTCTGTATTTGTTGAGTTTTTTTGAAAGTCATCCCCCACACACTATGTAAAGTATAAAATGATATATTTTGCAGATATATTTCGCGTTAATAGCGCGAAACATATCGCACCTTAATTGTCCCAAATTGGCAATATTTAAACCCCCATAAGTTTACAACAACTATGCTCTTACATCAGAGCAACAATGTTCCGACTGCACTGCCCCTTAATCCAAATTGAAAAATTTTTAAGTAAAGGAAATACTGAAACACTATAAATTCAGGACAAGAAAAAAGCTGGCCTGTGAAAAATTGAGTAATACAAAATTAGTACGAGCAATCAGCTAGCCTCAACTCAATTTGGAACGATTTTGTTGCGCGGGATAATTCGCAAAACATAAGCAATTCGCGAAACATGAGCAATTCGCGTTAGGTTTATAGCACTATGAAAATAATATGGGGGACGAAAAAAAGACCCAAATCTAGATTTGGTCAATTTGGCAAAATGGATGCTCTCGAATATCACCTGGGTTTTCTATTTTCCACCTTTTTAAAAACACCATAATTGTTCTTAACATGTATGGCTTTTGGCTTATTTACACTTTCGATTAGCAACGGTAGAACAAAACAGGGTACTAGATGCTCTCCCATAAAAAACTTTAATAACAATTAGTTCCTCAATTATCTATGAATTCATGATACTTCTTTTAGCTCGTAGGTAATGCTCAAATTTGGTACGACCAAGTGTTTTGGTTTCGAATCCCGCCGTGGAGCCGTCCTTCTCTAAATTGAAATATCACTGCTTTGATAGTTTAAGTTGCTGGGCTGTTGTTTTATTTTTTATCGACTAAGCTTCTACATTGATTTTGTTATCTGAATTTTTCTCAAATTTTTAACAAAATGGCAAGTTAACTTTGAAGAAACTTGGCTCCCTTATTTCCAAGTTAAGAAACAATTTTTTGATTTTTTTTCGCTCTGCTTCTTTTCTCTCTTTTTTTTCAGGAAACTGAAGAATGAAGCTTCATGTCTTAAGCCATCTCAAGTATTGGGTTTTTTTATCCGCTCATAACTATCAAAATCTGTTTTGTTTTTAGACGATTGTTTCCATCGCTTGGCATTTGAGTTTTTTAATCGCCTTCAAGGTTTCGAGTGGTAGACAAA